GGATGAGAAAATTGAGAACACAAATAAACAACAAAGGCCCTAAAACAGAACCTTGAGGCACACCGCTGTATACAGGTAGGGAAGGTGAAATTTCGTTCTCAACTGTGACACATTGTGATCGGTTTTTTAAATAATCAGAAATTAGGTGCACGATTTGGCTTGGAAGATTCATCTGAATTAACGCATCGATGATTGATTCATGAGAAAGTGTATCAAAAGCTTTTGAACAGTCCAAAAAAACGGCGTCAACAGCAAAGCCATTAGTAATAAAATCATTTACTAATTTTACAAAAATAAAAAGCTGTAGTTCAGTTGACCTTTTGTGCCGGTAAGCGAACTGGTGATCGCGCAGAATATTGTTTTTATTCAAATAATCACGAATTAACTGATCGAGACAACGTTCAAAAATTTTCGATACAGGATTCAGCATTGAGACCGGTCGGTAACTACCAGGAAGTCTATGATCTGCACTGACTTTTGGTACCGGAGTTATAAAAGAATGCTTCCACGTTGCTGGGAATACGCCTTCATTAAGAGCGGCATCGAAAACCAGTTTTAGCGGTTTGGTTATGGACAGCGCTGCGATCTTCAAAAGTTTATTAGTGATTTCAAATTTACCGCTCGACGTAGTAACAGAAATTTTAGCAAGTTGTTCAAAAATTAATTGTTCAGAAATTTCCCAGGTCTCCTCGTTCTTACAGAGCAGATTAATGTCGGTACCAGTACAATGAACATTACACACAGATTGGGACTCTTGATACGCTGTATTAAGTACTTGCGCTTTCTCACGATCTGTTACGACTGACGTACCGTCGGCCACTTTGAGTGGTGGCATGCCGATACGATCGTTCAATGATTTCATAAACCGCCAAAACTTCGATGGATTATTACGGAAAGCTGTGGATACATTCGAAAGTTTATGTTTTCTAAACTTTCGCACGAGCGCGACACACCTTCTTGAAACGTTCTTCCATTTCATTTTAAGATCAGCTTTGTTGGTCTGCCGATACAGGCGAAAAGCACGATCCCGAGAATTAACTGCTTTTTTTATATTTTTAGGGTATTTTTCTGCACATTTACCGAGTTTCACATTTTCATAAACGAAAAAAGTTTTTGCTGTTTAAAGAAAAACTTTCTCAAATTTATCGGCTTGCCGGGTTGCGTTCAAGCAGCACATCTGATTTGCCCAGTTTACAGCATTTAACGCACCAAGAAACTGGTCGATCTTGCTGCTTTCAATTTTCCACCGTTGGACTGTCCGAAATTTTCTACGGTATTTCTTTGATTTTAATGAAAATTCAAAACCAATATGATCATTGTTTGAAGTAGGCGGGCTGACTGGCGATGCTGTTTCGCAAAGCGAATTTGCGCTTAATAGACAAAGATCAAGACAGTTAGGACCTCTAGTGGGAAAATCAATTATCTGTGTCAGTCCAAATTCATTAACAGCGCTTATTAGCTTGCGGCTAGCAATCTGTTTTGCAGTTTTATTTGACCAGTTTATATCAGGCCGATTAAAATCACCCATGATTATGCATTTTGTTAACATGTGAGAAGAGAAATTAGAACGCAGGTGCTTAATTAGGGCAGGGACAGCAAACTTGCTTTTGTCTGGCGGAGCGTAGAAGGCAATAAAAATCCGATCAAGAGACAGAGACTCTATACAAAGAATTTCAAGCGAAGGAGTTTCCAGCTCTGGTCTGGGAATCGAACGCAACGTATTACGAATTACAATAGCCACGCCACCACGACCATCGGTTCTAGCTTTCCGGAATACATTGAAATTATCTGGGTCGACAAAATCGGAATCAGTCATAAATGGCCTGTCGTATGTCTCCGTAAGAACGGTCACATCACTGACTGAGGAGAATAATTTTACTTCTTCGCTTTTGTTTTTCACGCTTCTTACGTTGCAGCATCGGACACGGATGTTTTCAATAAGAGCCGGATGTATCGGCTGTGGAACAGATACAGTAGGATGGGCAGTACAGTTCGACGAGTTATTATTTAAACAATTCGCTTTTCCACTTGAATTAATTTTCAAAATTTCGGTGTTATTTATCGGTTTTTTGGAACATTTTGGTTGTAAAAATACCGCGACTTTTTGAAAACAGTGCAATAAGGGCGATCATATGCCGAGTGGTAGTTAGCCTCCGAGTAAACATTGCTGTCACTGCAAAGCGGGCACACAAACAAAAACTCCTCATTTTCCGTACAGTCTGTAGACAAGTGGGCTTTGGCACAGTAAGCACAGCGAGGTGGTTTATCACATTTCGTCGAGGTGTGACCATAGGTGCAACACGTAGAACACTGCGGTATGTATACGTGATCTTCTACGGGACAACGTGACCACTGAATCATGAGAAACTGTTGGTCAGTCAGGATATTGCGAACATCCTGGCTGACTTCCAAGACAATTGCACACGTCGAAACTTCCTCACGCCGGCTGGTCAGGCGTGTGACAAATTTAATGCCTGCGTTGGGTGGGAGAATATTTTTAGCCCGTATTTCGTTCAAAAGGTCATCGTTAGACAGTGTTTTTGGGACTCGGCGAACAATTACTCTTGACATTTTGGGTTTGGTTGAGACCACGTCATAACCCAACGCTTCTGCATGATCTTTTAAGATGGACTTACCATTTTCAGCGCTGTCGGCATTTCGAAATCCGACATGTCGCCCTCTACCACTGCACCAAATCCTGAAAAGGATGCATCGGTGCAGACAGTGATAACTGTCCGAGGTGTACCCAGCGGGCACGGGCAGAGACCGTTAAAGTCGGCTGCAAATTTGTTCCACCACGACAGCTCGAAGCGTAAGAGTGTGTCTTGATGATAGAGAAACGTGTTTCTCTGCCATTTTCTCTTTTTTGGCTCGCGCTCACCCAGATTAATCATACACGATGGAAGATTTACAATTGTCATCGTAGTAGCCGCCATGCAGACGCCAGTGATATTTGCGGTGGATTAAGTACTTATGCATATCAGTTTGTTCAAAATAATTAAACAATGCTAGAAAATGGCTTTTCCTGGATTGATAGGCCGGTTAACTAATATGGCACCGATCGTTATCTTGCGGGTCGATATGGCGGTGGAGAAAGATTCGTCTTCCTGCTTCACTTACGGTCTGCAGTACTATCGATTAAACAGGTACACTGTGACAAATACAGTACGAGTACTATGGTGCCGGCCTTTACAATCCAGGAAACGCCGATCGCTTGCCTCGTTTTCCGATTATTTTGATCAAACTAGGTGATATATTTACTCAATACACCACAAATATTACTGGCATTTGGCGGCGTGTATGATTACTGTGGGTGAACGCGAGCCATGCAGGGAAAACGGCAGAAAAACGCTCCCCTCTAATAGCACACCTGTCATCTAGCAAACACCGAACTGCCCGGATGATTATCGGACAGTGAGAAGACAGCTTCCGACATGGCGCGCAAATGGCAAGATACAAAACTAACACATTTTCTTCTTAATCTTCATTGAACTGTACATTTATCTGCGTGCAAGTTTGGCACCGGCAGAAGACTGGACAAAATTCATCATGTTTGGAAGATATTCGCACAACTACAGTACAGAACAATGTCCTATACGAATAAGTACAAACTGAACCTGCAGACCAGATTGCCAAGCACTTAATATTAATAATAATATAATATTGATACATAAAATAATTATGGATTTATACGACGCTAGTATAGTAAGGCATTTGACTTTTTAACAGCCCATAGCGCCAGTTTCTTTAAGACCACTTACTTAGCTAACGAACGCCAATAAGAAACTACATATTTATATGGAGCAGCGCGCAAACAGGTGGTACTGTACAATGTACGACAAAAAGAGGTTGAACCGATCAGTCGGTCCGCGGTTCAAAATAACCTCGCAACGACACGCCACCACTAAAACTTGGACGCTTACTCACTACTTTCGTGCGCTCGCGCTCCGTGAATATCAAAGTGCAGCTATACTAGTTGCATATCAAAAGGTGTAGAAAAAAATTTTAAACTTTTTGATACTAAACCTGTGGCTGTTTATGGCGAAAAACACAAATTCTAGCCATTTTGCTTTCTCGTAGGCACAGCATAGGATCTGTGCGCATAACCGTTTGGCTTGCAATCAATGCTTAAGTCTATGGAAAAGCAAAATGGCTAGGGTTTGTGTTTTCGCCATAAACAGCCACAGGTTTAGTATCAAAAGTTTAAAATTTTCATACCTTTGATATGCAACTAGTATAGCTGCACTGATATTCACGCGCGAGCGCACGAAAGTAGTGAGTAAGCGTCCAAGTTTTAGTGGTGGCGTGTCGTTGCGAGGTTATTTTGAACCGCGGACCGACTGATCGGTTCAACCTCTTTTTGTCGTACATTGTACATACTACTTTTGTAGTAGTGACTGTGACGACGCTGCATAATTTTTTGATACTAAACGATTAATTATAGATGAAAGGTGTACCGAGTTGTACATACTCCGTATGTGCATACATTGATTTATCTGTCCTGTACTACATCCATTATAACGGCGGTCAGTCAGAAATCACAAGTTCAAAAGCACTGCAACCGGATCGATCAACCGGTCATCACGTGCTCTCTGTTTACCATCGTCTGGGAGCTACTGGGCTATCGGCGTTTCACCCGGCCCTGGCGGCGAAGCGTGACAAAAAATGCCCAAACAGCAACGACTGTATCAGCATCCAGCAACAACTGCAAAATGCCGGATGTCAAACGTCAAGTATTATCACGTGTCAGGGAATGCCGCAACGTGAGGGAAGACGGTATAAAATGTGCCGATTACGCCAATTGCCCTCATCTACAACACTTGAACAATTTGCCCGTTTGCTGAATTCCTTAACAAATTGATTGTTTTCCGTGCATAATGGATATTCCTACTAAGTCAACTTCTGCACGGTCTATATAAGAAAACAGCTGCCGGCAACATTTCGGCGAATTTTTTAGTTGTTCTCAAAAAGTTGTCGGGCTAATTAACTGGATTAAAAAAATGGTTAGCCGTGTGCAGATCATTGTCGCATTGGGCTTAATGGCCCTGAACATATCGGCCGCCCGCAGTGTCTCCACGTCCCGTTCGCCCGGTGCGCCGACGACCGGAAGTGGCACGTGGATGACCACCACGGGTGACTTCATGATCACCGGATCCGGAAGTCCCGTTTCCGTCACCGGAAGTGCTGGCGCCTCCGGCTCTTCCAGCAAACCCATGTCGACCACCGGAGGTTATGAATTTACCACCGGAAGCGGTGATGCCGTCTGGACTACCGACAAGCCCATGTCGACCACTAAAGGTCATGGATCTACCACCGGAAACCCTGGAGCCTCCAGCACGACCACCGCGAAAGCATCCACCACCAAAGGTCATGGGGCCATTGCAGCTGCCACGGGCGGTGTCACTACCGATGGTCCCGTGTCGGTTACCGGTGGCGGGATGACCACTGGAGGGCCGGGTAACACCCACACATCCGGAGCGGGTAACACCCATACCGGCGGCAGCGGCGCCCCGTCGTCCACCACCCACGCCAGCGGCTTAGCCTTTAAAGCCGCTTTTCAACCGTTGGAGCCCATGGCATCCCATTTCTGAAGCTAGAGAAGTAGCTGCTGATATTCTTCATGCCCGTGATACGATGTTAATCTTTAGTTAATTCTTGGTACACTTTTATAGCGATTCATGTTGACCATTGTTGGGTAGTAATGGGTACTGCGAGGTTGCTCCGCGCAAAAATAGTTATAATGAAATAAATTGATCTGCCTTTGCTGACATATGAAATTACAATAATTTATTTTAGGTTTTGCTAACGTGCTCGAGAAATATTTGAAAAAATGGTTAAACGGTACTTATCGGTAAACCGTATAGTGTATACCCTAGGTTGTGGAAAATAAATAAAATTAATTTATATTGGCTTCACCTGAATGATGGAATCAATTGCTCCATCACATGTTAAAAAAATGCAATGGTTTTGCTGTGGAAGAAAAATAATATTCATAATGACAAGTATATTTTGGAACTGCGAACGTTTTGGTGCGAGCGAATTACGGCCCAAAATAAAGCAAAAATGAACTCGATGAAAATAAATGCAACGTATAAAACGTAATAATACTGTTATTAATTTTATGGAATTTCCCGATAATGTTTCTAATACATAATTAACCAGATAAATACAATGCAAATTATCCATCAAAAATGCAGATTAAGTCGCACAACAACAACAAAAAGGAAAATAAAAGCAGCGGCGAATCGCATAAAAAAACACAGAAAAATCAAAAGAAAAAATCGCTCACTGCGTGGCGGTCGGGGGTGGCGGGGGGATAAACGCCCCGGGAGGGGGCGGCGGCGGCGGGAACATCATCCCCGGTCCGGGCTGCATGCCGGCGGGCGGGGGCGGCGGCATGCCCATGGGGAAGCCGTAGAAGGGCATGGGCATCATCCCGGGCGGCATCATCTGCGCGGCGGCGTTGGCGAAGGTGTTGTAGGCCACCTGGGGAGTCATGGGGGGCGGGGCCACCGCCGTCACCGTCCCGCTGCCACCGCCGCCGTTGGGGGCGTCGGCGAAGAGCTGATGCGGGCGGTCGGCCTGCGCGATGGGGTTCTGGGCGGCCAGGAGGCGCTCGGCGGCCGAGCCGTGGCGTTCGCCCTTGGAGTCCTTCTTGAAGGCGTAGGAGACGGAGATGGCGCGGTTGCACAGGTACTGCGTGTTCATGGCCTCGATGGCCGCGTCCGACGCCTCGAAGCTCGCGAAGTTGACGAAGGCGTAGCCCTTGCTGTTGCCCGTCTCCGGGTCGCGCATAATCTACAGGAAAAATAATAGTATTATTTAATTAAATATCAGAAATAATGGAAATAAATTATGTTTATCAGTAATCTTCAATTAAATTAAAAACAATTTAGTTTTATCCGTAATAGAATTTAATCAAATTAGAAATAAAATGAAATAATTTATATTTATTAATCATATTTGATTAAATAAAAATAACAGAAATAAGAAAAGAGGTTGATGAAATGTGCAACCGTCTGTAGATGTGGAATTATGCTGGAAATTCCTGCATCTGTTCAACAGTTCATTAATTAGTACTTTTGGAAGCGGGTATCGGGAAAGAAACCATGCTCCGGTCGGTTTCCCTTCTCTTGCTTCCCAAATTATACAAAGAAAAATTTCAGGGGAACAAATATTTTAGAAAATTAATGTGTAATATACTCCTTAGTCCTGACTTCGAACTAAATGTAAGTCTTAACAGAAGATGAATAACAAATTAATAACGAAACAGTGAAAAGTGGAAGTTACCAATATTTTGTCATTCTAGTTTACTGAAAAGGCAGAGAACAACCAAAACTAATTATGTGCACACGCCCAATTTCGGTTGGTGTTTTCCTTGCAGATACGTTCAAAAAAGTTTTTTTTAAAAAACTGAATTAACAGGTAAAAAACGATCAAGAAAAAAATGATTAAAATTCAGGGAAGAAGGACACAAGAAGTATCATACAGCGAAGCAGAAATTCACAGCAAAATGACAAGAAAATTAGGAAATAAATTTTGTGCGCACGTACCTTGGGAGTTTGTAATATCATGCCGAAAGCGCTGAACGTGTCGTACAGCAGCTTCTCATCCACCTCCGGATCCAGATTCCCGATGAAAATATTCGCCCCAATATCGAGATTCTTCTGATGCGCTGCTGCCTGCATAAACCAAAAGGTTTCTTCAGTTTTCGGCGATTTCCAAATTTTCTGTGATTTTCCTTACAGAAATTATTGAGATGATACAATAAATAAAAATTATGAAAAATGCAACAAAAATCATCCAAGAAAAATAAAAATTCTAACGAAACATGGATTTGAGGAAATATTTAGGAAAAATATTTACTTTTGAAAATACTGATTTGAGGAAAATATTTATTTTTATTTCTGATAAACACAAAAATAATTTGTGACAAACAATAATATATTTGTGAAATATATTCAAGAATAACAAATATGAAATATTTATAATGTATGATAAATATTTGGCCTTAAAAAACGGGGGTTATCTGAACAGCGTACCTTGTTGACACGAATGGGTTTCCCATACAATTTTATCATATTCATCACTTTCATGGCATAATCCGCGTCCTCCTCACTCATAAACTCCACGAACCCGTAGCCCTGATGGGTTAACGTGATGCGGTCCTTGGGCATGTGCACGTTCACTGCAATCATACCAAATTCAGTTTAAAAACACTAAAACGGGTTCCTTAGGGTTATCCATCTGCTTTTGGTTTCTTAGGTTTCGCGTTGGCAATTCGCGCTACGAATGCGGGAGAACTGTAAAGAAAGCAGGGCGATAAAATTACCCACGGGTCCGGCCTGCAGGAAGAGCTCCCACAGGATGGATTCGTTGACTTTCTCATCCAGACCGCCGCAGTAGATTGTGGCGTCCTGGTTGCGCTCCTGAATCGGATCGATGGCCATCGTCAGTGGCGCACAACGGCGTTTGCGTAGAACGAATTAACACTAGTCTCTCCACAAATGCGGTATATGGTTTCGCATACAATCCGCAACAGCCTGATACAGTTAAAAGTCAAATTCAGAACAGAAAACAGCTGAAAAGTGGAAAGCTCGAAAAATAAACCAGCAGTGCGTTTTGATCGATCAAAAATTCAAAATGCAAACGAAAAAACACATTTCCGGCAGTATCACACCAATTCCAGAACAAATATCCCCAATGGAAATCCAGCAGAAGTGCTATTGCTGTCGCACTGCCTAAACCACCAATTCCATTAGTGCAATGGTAGTGGAGTCTTTGGGTGTGCGTTGATTGTGCGTCATGCGAAGTCGCGGATACTCAATGCTGTCAAGTTGTCAACATTAAAAATCCAGTTTAAAATTTTAGTGGGATTTTAAACTGCCTTTCCACTTTTTCTTCTCATAATTTTTTTGGCTGATCGATTAGTGGAATCCTAAGAGAGGTTTAAGCGCAACATGTAATACCTGTTGGGCAGCAGGCGACATGGAGAAACGATATAATGCTGGCAGAAACTTCCTGCGCGATGATTGAAACACTATCGCAGCTTCCAATTTCCAGTTATTCAATCGGGATAGCCTGATAAGTACCTCTTCTGTACGAGTGTTTGTGAATCTTTGATTATCTATGATTTGACTCAAAGTGTGCGCCACGATGGAGGACATTGCGAAGCTGGAATATCTGTCGCTGGTGTCGAAAGTCTGCACGGAGATGGAGAACCATCTCGGCTTCAGCGACAAGGATCTCGGTACGGAAAAATGAAAATATAATTCCTGTGTTCGAATTTTGCAGAAGATTAATAACAGTTTACGTATATCGTAAAATTTTTATAAGTTACATGAAAAATTCCTTCAGAATCGTATCTTATTTAAAAAGGATTAATATTTTTAATAAAATTGTTCACTTGTATGGTTTTATTTGTTTTTTAAAAGTTAAAAAAATTAATAACTTGGACTTTTCGATAATCAGCCAATTTTTATAGCATACAAAAGATTGTCATTTAGTGTGGGTGTCTTGTGCAGCGGAATTCGTGATCCACTTATCGGAGGGGAACGACACGTTCGACGCGTTCAAGAAAGCGCTGCTGTCGAACAGCGCCGAGTTCTCGGACGCGCTGATCGCCAGTCTGCTGCGGCTGATTCAACACATGCGCCCGCGCAAGGACAAGGGGGCCGCGGAGGCCGGTCTGAAGGAGCTGGACACGGTTATCCGCAAGGAGAAGACCAAAACCGCCTTCCCCGGACTCAGCATCCCCAATGATCCCACCGTCAGGGTAAGGAACTGTTTTTTTGCTGGTGTAATGAGAAATTGCCGAATTATTTGTCACCGATTTCACTGGAATTTTTTACCGACGGCGAACTGTGGGAAATTTATTAATGCCCAATGGTTGAAAATTCGAAATTAATATCAGTAATACAAACTATCAAAGTGTTATTAAACTTGATATTAAACTATTAAAGTGATACAGTGTAACTGGAAATATTTTCTTGAATTTTTCAGGAGGCTTATTAATTATGATAATAATTTCAAAATAAATAAATCGCGATAAAGCACAATCAGTTGTTTTCTGGAAATGTGTTCTACAGGTTTCCGTAAAATTGATATCATAATTGATTGGATATTGGTATGTTTTGCTGAAACGTAAAATCGCGTTAATCAGCTGTTTGTTGGTGAAAAAGATTGGATGATCTTTCTTACTTTGTCGTCATCATACTTTTTGGTTGCATTTTTTGTCGCCATTTCAAGTGAGATTCTGCTGATATTTTGTACGTGTTTTTTTCAACTGTTTATGTAATATATTCCGGTTTACTTTCGCATTTCTGTTCTACTCTGCTCTTTCCGGTCGTCTCGGATCGCACTAGTTTTGCACTTTTGTTTTCATTCCCGTTTTTCTTACGGTTATTATGTATATATTTTACGATAAGTACTTGTTCATTCAGGAAATTATTTGTTAAGTAATTTTATTTAAAATCTTGTCCTGATCGTAGATAGAAATAATTATTTACACATTATTTAAATTATCCTGTTTTTCGGCAGACGATGTTGGATGAGGATGTCAAGCCGGAATTGAAAGCCAAAATTGAAGACGTGAAGGTGGCGCTGGACGCCCTGGCGCAGTTGGAGGCCCTGGAGCAGAAGAATATCAAGCGCGAAGAACGCAGTCCCACTCCGGAGCGCCGCCGCGAGCGCCACCACCGGGAGGATGACGGGCGCCGGCAACGGCGGGAAGACGATGACCGCCGCCGCCGCTCCCCCACCCCCGAGCGGCGAGACCGCGACCGGGAGCGCCGACGCGACCGTAGCCGCGAACGGGACCACCGCGATGATGGGCGACACCGGCGGTCGCGCTTTGAGGAGCTGCCCTCCGAACCGGAAGTGGGAGCGGTAAGCCTCTATGCTGACAACATTTTATTTGTTTGATTTATAATTTTGCGTTTGCCTTTTGCTTTTTCTTATCGCTGCCTATTTTATTTATTAATGATTTTCTTTTATTTTGTTTCTAAAAATATTTTCTGTATTGTTTTTGATTCATATTTTGGGAATAATTTATTGAACAGTTTCTTCGATCTTCCTTTTTCTTATTAATTTATTTTGGTATACGTTTTTTTTACAGATTTTTTTCATTTTTTATCGTTTATATAACTGATTTCGTCGACACTCCTTTTCTTTAATAGTTTTGTATTTACATTTTACTTTAGCTCTTGTTTTTGTACTTATACTTTTAGAATGAAATATTTTCGAAAATTTGAAATGCTTTATAGATTTGTAGTAAAGCTTCTTATTTTTAAAAAAAATATGACTATTTAATTAAAATAAATTAGTCATCGGTGAGTGGATAATTCATCACTTTACCGTTGTTTATTCGTTTTCACTAGCGGTTTGCGATGTGAAATATTTTCAACAATTTTTGTTTTTCTGCGGCGTCATTTAATGTTTTTGCAGATTTACGACGGCCAGATCACGCGCATCATGCAGTACGGGTGTTTCGTGCAGATCAAGGGCCTCCGGCGCAATCTGGAGGGCCTGGTGCACATCAGCGAACTGCGCCGCGAAGGCCGCGTCAACGACGTCAGCGAGGTGGTCAAGCAGGGCCAGAAAGTGCGCGTCAAGGTCAAATCTTTCACGCCCAACCCCGTGGAACCGAATAAATCCAAGACCTCCTTGAGCATGAAGGACGTGGACCAGGAGACCGGGGAGGACCTGAATCCGACCCGCAATCTGCCGGTGAAGACGGCGCAACCGGCCGCGCCCCTGCGCAATCCCGACCGCCCCGTGGCGGTGCTGGAGCTGGACCGGCCGACGGATCCCGACGCCACGAAGCGCGCGGTGAAACGCCTGTCGTCGCCGGAACGCTGGGAGTTGAAGCAGTTAATGGCCGCCGGGTGTATGGATAAACGCGAACTGCCCAACTTCGACGAGGTAAAGCAAGTGAATAAAATCGCAATTTAGAAAACTCAGTTGAGTTTTATGAGGAATTTAAGATTGTGCGAATTCCCACCGACTTTGAATGCAAAAAGTGGAAATTTGAAAGCGCTTTTAAGGTTTTGAGGAAATTTGTTTTCGTGTTCAGTTTTCTGTCTGACTGCTCGGCGTTTCGCTATCGTGTTTAGCGTTTTATTAATAGTATTTCATGTTGCTATTCATTTATTTTTTTGCGTTCGTTTTCTAATCAGGCGTATTTTTTTCTGATTTGTTCCGTTTAGTTGCCTATATTATTCTCCATTTATTTTAAATGCTGCCGTTTTTCGTAATAATTTACAGAGGTACTAACAGTGAAATTACCGATGATAAAAATAAGCAGAAAAATGCGAAGCAATCTGGTAATTTTTTTCACATTTTTCAATCGGTTTTGTTTACAGTGTGGACAAAAAATTTGTGTAATCTGTTTATACTTTGTAGTTAAAATACTGTTAAATGTAATCGTATTATTGTTTTCTGAGGCAGTTTAAATTCATTTCAAATTTATTTTAAATTTGTCTTCGGGAAACGGGTTACAATTAATTGACATTTAACGCTTTTTTTTATCAGGATACGGGCGTGCTGCCGAACGAACCGGAAGACGACGAGGACATCGAGATCGAGATCGTCGAAGACGAACCAGCCTTCCTGCGCGGTTACGGCCGCGCCACCCTGGACATGGACCCGGTGAAGATCGTCAAGAACCCCGACGGCTCCCTGGCGCAGGCCGCCATGATGCAGGGCGCCCTGGCCAAGGAGCGCCGCGAGGTCAAGCAGGCCGCCCGCGCCGAGGACGCCGGCGCCAAGCCCCCGCCGCGCCCCTTCGGCGACCCCGTGCCCGGCTCCAGCGCCGACGACGAGGTGGTGGACGCGGCGTACAACAACCGCATCCAGGGCGGGGATCTGCCCGAGTGGAAGAAGTACATCACGGGCGGGGGGAAGGCGTCCTACGGGAAGAAGACGAGTATGTCGATTATGGAGCAGCGACAGTCGCTGCCGATTTATAAGCTGCGGGATGAGCTGGTGAAGGCCGTGACGGAGAACCAGATCCTGGTGGTCATCGGGGAGACGGGCAGCGGGAAGACCACGCAGATTACGCAGTATCTGGCCGAGGCGGGGTTCACGGCAAGGGGGAAGATTGGGTGTACGCAGCCAAGGCGCGTGGCCGCCATGTCGGTGGCCAAAAGAGTGGCGGAGGAGTTTGGGTGCCGGTTGGGACAGGAGGTCGGGTAGGTGCTGGTATTCCAGTATTATAAAGTTCCAATTTAATAACATTTAGAAATAATATGAAAATTTAATAATTTTATTTTACATTTTTCTATCCAGTTTACGCAGCTCTAGTTTTTACCGTGTGTATCAAAACCACATAATAAGTGTACTTTTATTTTTGGATGCTGCTGGATTAACCTGTTGCGTATTTCCACCTGTTGCATTGTTCGCCGTTTAACAGTATACTTGTAATTGAAATTCGATAAACACATGAATAAGCTTTTTTTCGCACGGCTTTCCGTGCAGTTTCTGAATTTTTTTTGCATGTATTGGTTACGTACATGTGCTTCTTTGATGATTGTGTTTTGAAGTTATTTTGTATTTTGTTTATTATTGCGCTGTCTTTTTGGGGCAGAATAATTACTGTAAAAGTCATCTGAGGATTTTCTGCAGCAGTTGTTTTCGATGCATTTAATTGTAAATTCCATCATTATGTCTTTTGTATGATTTGGAATTTCTTTTCCAGTCTGATAATTTTGTTTAAAATATTTCCGGCTATTGTAGAACGTTTGGGTAGTGCATCTTCCATTGGATTTTAATTTAAATTGTTGTAAAAGTTCCGGGTTGATTTACAGGTACACGATCCGTTTCGAGGACTGCACGACGAACGAGACGGTGATCAAGTACATGACGGACGGTATGCTCCTCCGTGAGTGCCTGATCGATCCGGACCTAACCGGCTACCACGTGATCATGCTGGACGAGGCCCATGAGCGCACCATCCACACCGACGTGATGTTCGGCATGTTAAAAGCGGCTGTCAAGAAGCGCCCCACTCTCAAGTGCATCGTCACGTCGGCCACGCTGGACGCCGTCAAGTTCAGCGAGTACTTCTTCAACGCCCCCATCTTCACCATCCCCGGCCGCACCTTCCCCGTGGAGATCCTCTACACCAAAGTAGGCTGAAAATTCCAATCGTATTGTAATTTGCAATTTTATTCTATTTTCAAAATATTATTTCCCAGTCAGACTTTCGTAACGCGTAGTGCTGTTGGTCTGATAGCGAGAAAATTAATCGTTTTCTCTGGTAATAAATTCAGTTAAAATGCGCTTTTTAAGCAACCACAATATGTTGAAAACAGTCAGCCTTAAGCGAAATATCCATTTCTTATTATCGGACAAACAGTTTGTTTTGTTTGAATTATTTCCCAATTGAACGGGGTTTTTTGTCCGTGAAACGGTCTGAAATGGGAAAACAACTGTTAATTAATTCACTTAAATGTACTTTTTGATTTAATGTATCTTTAATTTGACTATCATGAAAATTAATTCAAAGAGAGAGAAAATAAAAACTGTTTGAAAAGGCACTTGAAGGCGGCAAATATGGCTGCAGGAAATGTGCGTTATCGGCTTCAATTTCCATAAATACCGGTATCTATAGCAGACAGCCGGAAACCGAGCAGTATTTCGCCAAAACGTATTTCCTAAATTTTATTTCCCAGCAGCGTTTCATTGCCAATCATGTTACTAACCAGCCAAAACTATGAATTTGCAGGAACCGGAAACGGATTATCTGGACGCGGCGCTGATCACGGTGATGCAGATCCACCTCACCGAGCCCCCGGGGGATGTGCTGGTGTTCCTAACCGGGCAGGAAGAGATCGACACGGCCTGCGAGATTTTATATGAGCGGATGAAGACGATGGGTGCGGAAGTGCCGGAACTGATCATCCTGCCGGTGTACAGCGCCCTGCCCAGCGAGATGCAGACGCGCATCTTCGACCCGGCCCCGCCCGGCTCCCGCAAGGTGGTCATCGCCACCAACATCGCCGAGACCAGCCTGACCATCGACGGCATTTATTATGTGGTCGATCCCGGATTTGTTAAGCAGAAAGTCTACAATTCCAAAACAGGTACGTGCGCGGGGGAATTTGTTTTGATGACGCTAAAATATAGTGTATTTTGTGTGGGAATTTTTGTGTTCTATTTTGATTTTATTTCGCTGTTTTGTAATTTTATTCCGATTTTTTTAGATTCTGATTATTAGTTTATCCTTGTATGACGACAGTAAGGGATGTAATTTCGCCTTAAGTTGTTTTTAGTCTTATACATATTCGGTGCGGGAATACTAGTAATGGTATTTCGATTTTTTTTATGATGATCATTGATCATCATGGTTTTTGTGCAGGAATCCGTTTTTCTCTGTATTGCTTTTTAACCACGAGCAACCACGGATAACCTACTCGTAGTTTGCGGCAATTTGCTGAATTTTATTGCTTTGTTTTAATTGGATTCTCTATGCCATTTTACGGTGCACGACATTTTCCATTCATCGTTTTACATAGAAAATAATGAAATTATTTAACGGATTTGGTTTGTAAAGCATAAAAACATTCCATTGCAAATACGTTTTTCAGCTGTTACTGTGGTAGTGCACGCAGATTTGCGTCGAAAAACGTAGTACATTGACTGCGGGTGCTTCACTAATCAAGGTGGTATGCATCGCTGTAATGTGCCAATCGAACTTGAATGTGATTCCAGATTTAATATTTTTACAGTTATGTTAGTGGTGTCAGAAAATTTCCGTGCTGGAGAAGTGTTTTGAAGCGTCGTATTTTACGATATAAATTTTAAAAAAAATTGAAACAAAATTCAACAAATAAATAAAATTCAGTACGAAAACGACTAATGGTTGCAGGTATGGACGCGCTGGTGGTGACGCCCATCTCGCAGGCGCAGGCCAAACAGCGCGCCGGACGGGCCGGGCGTACCGGTCCCGGAAAGTGCTACCGACTGTACACGGAGCGCGCCTACCGCGACGAAATGCTGCCGACCCCCGTGCCGGAGATCCAGCGGACGAATCTGGCCGGGACGGTGCTGAATCTGAAGGCCATGGGCATCAACGACCTCCTGAACTTCGACTTCATGGACGCCCCGCCCATCGAGTGCATGGTCATGGCGCTGGAGCTGCTGCACTCGCTGTCGGCGCTGGACGACGAGGGACTGCTGACCAAGCTGGGACGGAGGATGGCCGAGTTCCCGCTGGAGCCCAATCTGGCCAAGATGCTCATTATGTCGGTACGTACGTCGACAAAAACATCCGTCCATACAATAATAAGATTTTCAGTTGGAAATTTTGTATAAAAATTATTGTAAGTAATTGTAAGGATGCCGTTGTCGTTGTGGAGGTTGGTTGATTGATTTGCTGAGCCTGCTTTTCTGTTCCGGTAATTATTTTGAAATTGTGTTGTTTCAAAGGAAAGTAATGTTTGTGGTTTGCGATTTTTTCCATGACTTTTTTATACGAGTTTCCATGGTTTTCTTCCATGAAATTTTTATAGTATTTTTCCATGCCTTTCTTAGTAAGTAATCGTATTTGCATGGTTTTTCATTTTTCCTAATTAGTTTGCTTTTTTACTGATGAATTTCCCGGTTAATGCTTTGTACTTGCTGTTTTATTTTATTTCTTGTTCCGGTCTCTTTTCATTTCTTTGATGTTTAAGCTCATGTGATTTTCTGTCGCGTTTCCTTTAATAATGTTATCTTTATTTTAAATTTTTGTTCGGTGTTTGTGTTTTCCGGAGCGGACTGACACCAGTTGGCAGTCGGTTAAACTAGAATAATTTTCAAAGACCAGTCTTTGTACACTATTTAGTTTACGGCTTGTTTTCGTCCGGTCTATGGAAAGTCTGTAACCAAAATGTTACACGATTCTGATTCGCACATTTTAGGGGGGTGGTTTAGCACAGCACAAGCATCAAAGGAAGATACTGTAAGGGACTATCTATAAACTACGTTCCCGAAAATTCGTTCTGTGCGTAGTTTGTGTATGGTCCCTAACTATACCGTTAATTACAAATTTATTGTACACGAATAATACGTCATTTGCACAGTGAGTCCGCGACGGAATGTTTTCGCTGACTGCGAAGCAGACAAGAAAACGCCACTTCGTGTTTTTTTTTATATTTTGTCTCCTTCTTGTAGTTTTTCTTTTTTTCTGCTCACTGTGCGACGTTGTTATTTTACAGTTACTGTTTCTTTTATTTTTCTCTTGTCTTTGGTCTGCTAATGAGCCGGTTGGTGTCTTTTTTGGTAAATTTGTTTGTAATAATGATAAAATACCAACAATCTTGACCATTGCATTTGCAGGTGCAACTGGGATGCTCGGAGGAGATGCTGACCGTGGTGTCCATGTTGAACGTGCAGAACGTCTTCTACCGACCGAAAGAGAAGCAGGCCGTGGCCGACCAGAAGAAGGCCAAGTTCAACCAGCCCGAGGGCGACCACCTGACGCTGCTGGCGGTGTACAACGCCTGGAAGAAGCACAGCTGCAGTCCCGGCTGGTGCTTCGAGAACTTTGTGCAGCTGCGCACGCTGAAGCGGGCGGAGGACGTGCGCAAGCAGCTGCTGGGCATCATGGACCGCCACCAGCTGGACGTCGTCAGCTGCGGCAAGAATGCGGCGCGGGTGCAGAAAGCCATCTGCAGCGGCTTCTTCCGCAATGCGGCCAAGAAGGATCCGCAGGAGGGATACCGCACGCTCATTGACAGCCAGGTAAGGCGGACGAAATTCCGCGAATTCTTATGTACAGTTTTTATCCGTTATATTGTATGTTTATTTGTTATTCCTGACTTGTTTTCTGTGACAAAATTCTTTGAATCTCTGTAAAAATTTTCTTCATTTTAACTGAGATTTGCATTTATTTTATGTATTCTTCTGGAATATTTTGGTAGTTTTGTACGGCAGCATTCTTTGGTTTCGATTCCTCATTGTGGTTTTTCTTAATATAAATGCGTGTTTTCTTTATGATTTTTGGATTTTTTAGCAGCGAGATTTGTTAAAATCGTAGTCAGTTTTTCCTTCATATTAATTGAGATTTATACGTAATATTGTATTTGTTATTCTTGCCTATTTTTGTAGTTTTGCACGACAACATTTTTTGATTCGATTCCTCATCACAAGTTTTTCTTGATACATATACTGAGTGTTTTCTGTATTGTTCTTGAATTTTTTTCGCTAGAAGATTCTTTCGGTTCTGAATCAAATTTTCAGTTGACTGAACATTTTTTAATCGACAACCGCAGGGAATCTAAATCGTAGAGGTGATACAAACTGGGGAGAAGCGTTCGCTAATGCTGGTTGTGTCTCGGTAGGTGGTGTACATCCATCCCTCGTCCTCCCTGTTCAACCACCAGCCCGAGTGGGTAGTATACCACGAAGTAGTCCACACCACCAAGGAGTACATGCGCGAAGTGACGGCCGTGGATCCCAAGTGGCTCGTGGAGTTCGCGCCGGCCTTCTTCAAGTTCGCCGACGCCACCAAGCTGAGCAAGGCTAAGCGCCAGCAGAAGATCGAGCCGCTCTACAACAAGTACGACGACCCCAACTCCTGGCGCATCTCCAAGGCCAAACGCCTCCGCCGCAACTAGACCCCATCGGTCGGCTGTTGTTTTCTGATTCGGCGGAATATCATTCGGGATTTTCCATGTGTATAGTGTAAACGTTTTCCTAATCTATTTTGTTTTGACTGACAGTGCTAGTGGAATGTGGTGAATAGTCTGAAAACCGAAAAACATACAGATACAGTGTAGGACTGCAAAAAAAACGAAAATTCGGGCCGCTTTCCCAAAATCCGTTAAAAATCGAAGAACGCGTGCGTTGTCCGCGCAGTACTGCATCATAACCGGAAACATACAGTACTACTTGCAGTGTACAATCATCCAAAGACAAAAGGGTCACCCATACATTTTTTTTGTAGTCTGCTGTTCGAAAATCTAATAAACATCGAAGAACTACAACGTTTTCCGTGCATAGCTGCATGATTATTTTTATTTTTGTCGCACCGAGAAGATGCTTTTTGTACAGCGTACAGTACATTCAAAAGGTCACCCATACATTTTTTTTGTAGCGGTGAAATTAAGGGTGACGATGCAGTTAGCACCAAATTCGCCACCATGCAGGACCTCCGCTTTCACGCATTCTCAAACAGTTTTTGCATGTTGTACCGTATTACATCTTGTAAAAAAGTGAACTACTGTAGATGCATGCGTTGGGGGGAGAATAAATTATTCTGCGCGCATGTTTAGAGAGTTTTGCATGGAACAAGATCCCAAAAGTTTCTACGCAAGCAGGTAAACGAAAGGGCATTATGTTGCCCATGTTTACCGGGCGGAGGTGATGCTATTTTTTTCTAAATTAAGATAGATGTCAAAACGTTTAGAACTGTTTGAGAATTTGTGGAAAAAGAATCCCCTGTACGTACACGTGCATGGCGGCATGTAACGCATCGCCTTTTTTAAATAATGACGGAAATGACCCGGTACACGGTGCCAGATTCGTGTACATGCACGGGCCGATCCAGCTTTCGATATCGTGCTCTCCTGCAAACTCTTTTACGCTTTGTTTCCGCATAATATTCTATAGCAAAATGATTTGAATACCTTGGCGTGGAAGCCGTTTGTGCAGTATAATAGAAACGATCCTAATTATGTGCATTAATTATCTCAATTATCTGAAAAATTCGAAGAAGATTGGTTCGTGGTTTTATAAGGAGGCTTTCGGTACACGTTCGCTCCCCAACCGGATGCTGCGCGCCCCGACGGTTTTCAACTTTTCACGCCAACGTACAGATCTTCAAAAATCATTTGACCTTAGAATGTCATAAAACAATGCAAGAAAGTGTTAAGAACGAAACGAACTACGGTTCTCGTGCATTTTACTGATGTACACGAATTTAATACCATGTACAGACAGGTATAGTTTATAGGTACGCATTGAGCAGGGCCGCTTTCCTTATACCAGTGATGTCCCGTTTTTTTCACGGGCTCGGTAAATCACGGGAATTTCCCGCACCCCGCACCCGCTTTTGCTCGGAAAGCGGTGCGGGAGATTTTCTGCTCGGATCGGGTGCGGTCGGGATTAAAGCTTGATAAGTACGCCCGCCCGCTGCTCGGAAAAACTCGGGATTTATTTGAATGGTGAAAAATTAAATTATCTGCAAATTAGAAATTTAAAAATTATTTTGTAAGCAAGCCACCGTAGCATGTAGCAGTAACTTGCTGTAACTAATTCCACTGCTCCGCGTTCCAGTAGCTGTTGTAATCCCATTGCCGCTGGCTGGCGGCTGCAGACTGCAGTACACTTTCAGTACCGTAACTTTCACACTTCCAGTATCGCTCTTTGTCTCGTGCCTTAGCACTGGAATTAACGAAAATTCAATTTCACTGCCAACCATCTGTTTTTAACTGTTTGGCCAGAGACCGTAAACTGTAAAGTGAGATCAAACGTGTTATGATTTATCGGGAGTTTAGAGTTAGTTAATTTTAATTCCATTTCTAAGGAACTGAAAGCAAGGCTGGATTACTGTGTTGAGTGTGTTCTCATTACGTTTGACTTCTTGATGATTGAAAAGCCATGCAGCAATCTATTGTTATTGACGATGATGACGGCCAAGAACCCGAAACCAGCGCTTCTTCTCCGAGTTCTCCGACTGCCCCGGAATCTCCCCAAGCGCCGAATAATTCCTCCGCTGCGAAGGTTTCCGCAAAAGAATACTATGAGGCATTCTTCGTTAACCCCGTATGCAAGACTGAATATGCTAAAGGACAGGCGAGAAGCTGGAAAAAGTACTCCGCGACGTGTAAACTGTGTGCTGAATCGGATGCAAAGAGACTGGTGAATGGAGGAGCGGATAGTTTCGACGCGTTCAAAAAACATGTCACGCGGCATCATTCAAAGACGAAGGTATGGATTCCGTGCTATGGAGATACATAATTTAGTGTACACAGTTTACTAAACAGTGTTTAGTTTTACTACATAGTACAAAGTTGTTTTTATCAGCTAGCTGTCACGTTTGACAAATTGGCACTAGTATTTCTTACTCAATGGCATTTTCATGCTTTGCAGGACTACATGGAGTTTATTGCTAAGAAAGTCAAAGATAACGAAATCTCGCGAACAAAGCTATCCAGAGAGCAGCCCACCATGACCGATTTCGTGATACAGAAAGCAGAACCGTATGGCAAGAACCATTGGAAACAGATTCGGCTAAATGACGCTGTCGGAAATATTATGCTAAAAACCCTCGCACCGCCGTCCATGCTTGGCGACATAAGTTTCGATGAGGCTATCAAGATTGGTGACAGCAAACTCAAGGTTAGTGCAAAGAACGTACACTTTTTCATTATTTGACTTAACGAAAACAACTGTTATAAGTGCAGCGTAAAATTTTAAATACATGTAAGTTTATTTTGAACATGTTGATGCTCAATATTGTAATATTTGTTGATAAAGTTTTCATTATTTAGTGGCCTCGACGACACCAGCTGACACGCCACATCCTGCCAAAATTCGAAAAAGAAATTCGTGAGAAAATACAGATCTTGTTGTCTACTACCACAGCTGTATCACTGAACGTGGATTTGTGGACGAGCAAGAGATGCCATGGCTATATGGGTGTAACTGTTTCGTTTATCGATGAAAAATTTCGCCTGCGAAATTTCGTGTTAGGATGTCCGCGTTTTAAAGAGTCGCACACTGCAGAGAATATTTTTCAACTAGCTACCGTCTTGATACTCGACTACAACTTGAAGGATGTCCTGCATTATGTTGGGCTTGACAACGGCCGAAATTTTGTAAATGCTTTTGACGACTGGATGCCAAGCCTTTTTCCCGCGGAGTTTTTGCGCAAACCGGATGCGGAAGATGAACACGTTGTCGGTAAATTGTCATGTAGTAAACTGTGCAATTAAAATCAGAAGCATCTGCATTTTTCAATGCCTAAATCTATTGTGATTTTTAATATACCAGTTTTGTGTTCTATGCTGCTTACTGTGTAGATGAGGACGGATTTAATGACTGCGTGGAATCCGTAGAAAACGATGATGAAAGAGCGGAGGAAAGCGACCTTGATTTTGATTCCCAGCGCACAGAGCAAGCGTTTCAAAAAATCCGTGACACATACTGCCGGATTCCCGATAGAAACATTGTGGTAAGTTTGTGTGCGAGTGTTTTGTGTTATAATGATTTCTTGTGTATTATTTATATTTCGTATTTAGTATTTACGCAAAAAGTTTAGTTTTTTTATATACTCGTTTGTTGTATTTGTCCTCGCGCGTACTGCCGCATAGTTTATTTGTGATTTTTTTAATTTTGATTTGTAATCATTTTGTTTTTCGTGTAGGTCCGGTGCGCGGCGCACACCTTATCTTTGGCCATTGGTAGCGCAATGGCAGATGCGCAGGTTATCAACCAAGTTATTGAAGGTCTTGCTGGGATCGTTAACCGTGTTAAGCATTCGCAGTCGGAGACAACCATTCTGGAGGAAGCGTTCAAGAAAACCTTTGTCAGCCGCAATCAGACCAGATGGAACTCGAACTTTTTAATGGCCAAGCGGGCAGCGGAATTTGATTGGGAAAGATGTGGACTCTCTCAGAAAAATATTTTGAAACCTGCGCACCGCCTTGTATTGCAAGCGTTTGTAAATCTTATGGAAGTTTTCAATGCATCGTTTAAGATTCTGCAGACGGCTGACTATCCTGTAATTGGAGACGTTATTCCTATTTTATGTGGGCTTCGCAGGCATATCAAAACATGCCAAAAGAATATAGACTTCGTGTTATTGCAAGATTTTATGAAAGGCTTGCTGAAACAACTAGACGAAAGATTTGGTGCTGTGGAAAAAGACAACCTGTACCTTGCCGCTGCTTTTTTGGATCCCAAATATAAGCTTCTGTGGTGTAATAGTTTTGGACCTGAGAAATCTGCTGAGATGGTTCTCAAAATCAAGGCGCTCATGCTGGGCATGATGCAAGAAGTTGGCTGCGGTCAAGACGTGCAGTTTTGAAGAAAGTAAGTGAAAAAGAATCACAGTTAAACTAATTAAGTATAAAGTCGTATTTGAATTTTACTGAATCATTCGTTTATCCTTTCCGCATATTGAGTATTTATTTATGTTTAGGCAAGAATAGTTTTGTCGGTCCGGATTTCCTGAACTTTTTATACAGAGGACAAAGTAGCTTGTCGATGCGACAGGACAGCGGAAGTGACAAAGCTGCAACGTGCGAAACTGAACTAGAGATGTATATTGCCTCTTCGTGGATAGGGACAAACCCCTTGGAATTCTGGAAAAGTGCTGAAGCGGCCTGCTTGCCACGTTTGAAAATTCTTGCCAAACAAGTTTTATGCGCTCCAGCAACGACCGCTGACGTCGAACGGATGTTTAGTGTTGCGGGAATTTTGCTCAGTAACAGGAGATTAAAAACTTCGGATGAGCATTTCGAGAGATTACTGTTTTGTAGTATTAATAAGCGGCGGTTAGATGGTGATTTAAATGTCGGTGGTAAGAGAAAGCTGAATAGTTGACGGTGATAATAAAATGTACGGCGATACTATAATTTCAAGCTAAGGGTGAAATTTCTTAAAAGTAAGATTTACTATGCAGGTTGAAAAATTAGTAACTTTCCATACGTATGGCATACTTGAAACATTTTAACAAAAAAGGCTGTAACAATAACATGGTTAAAAAATTATTTTATTGAAAATCGGGAGTCGGAGCGTGGTGCGGGACTGTCCGAGCGCTCGGGTGCGAGAGCGGGTGCGGGAAAGTTTTTGATCGGGAAAGTGCGGTCGGGACAGGAAAAATTGTAAACGGGACATCACTGCCTTATACCAAAACCTAATTACTGCTGCCAGTTATTAGCCAGCAGTAGCTTGAAGACTGACCAGATCAGAAACTTTTTTTAGAAAATGCAGCCTTTCTTTTGTACAAAACGGGCGCCCTTTCCCATGTTACTGGTGGCCGGGGATGGCACTTCCGCATCCAGCGGCCTTTGTAACACTATCGCGACTATGTCCCAAGCCGTTGTGAAGTCTGAGTTAGAAAGTAATGTACTTTATTACTTATCGTTACTCACGTACTTCTTCGTTGATGTACTTCATTATGCACTTAATGTGCTTACTTTATGTACTTTATCAAAGTACTTCAGTGCATACTTCTTATTATTTATTTTTACGTGCATTTTACTTTATTATGCTTTTTTTTAATGTTTATTCTCATAGAATTAATGCATTACGTACTTTATCAATCTACGTCATCATAATTAGGCTTTCAATGCTTATTGTTATGCACTAAAATTTTCTACTTTATTATGTACTCTTTAATGTATTTTCATAAAAATTAATATTATGTACCTAATGTACTTTATTATATACTTCTTGATACTCTTTCTTAAGAGCTTTTATTTCATTATGACCTTTTAATTTTCATTTTCATGGGGTTAATGCATTTACTTAATCTACAGTACTTTGTCAATCTACTTCGTCATAATTATGATTTTAATACTTATTGTTACGTACTTTTCTACTTTATCATGTACAGTACTTTTTAATGTACATACTTTCATAAAATATTATGTACTTAACGTACTTTATTATATCCATATATTTCTTGATACACATCATTATGACTGTGCTTTTCACTTGATAATTATTATTATGTGCTTTTTACGTCAAAATTATTTACGTTTCACTCTTTTTCGTACTTATCGATAATCTGACGCAGCAATTCAGAACAATCGGGCTACTTATTTTATTGATTTTTGGTACCTCTTTCTGCCAGTTAATAAAAATAGTTATGTCATAGGAAATCATTTTCAGTAAAGCCAGAAAAAGTTTTTTAAAGTTAATAATATAAAATTATTCAGCGCTAAATTTTCGAAAGAACCTTGCTACCCAATTTCTGTTGCGAAAGTGCGAATACTGTTGTTTTAGCAAAATAGCCAGTATTTTGTCACTTTTGGGCCATCGATCGTACGACCCGTGACGTCAGAAATTGTACGTACATCGCACAAATTTTGTACGTACATAATTTTGTACGTACATCGCATGATAGGAAGTTGTACGTACAAATTTTGTATACGATTAGTACTAATTGATTAATTGTCCGCTGCCGGCAGAATGATACAGCATTCCGTTGATACCGCATCAATCAACTACGCATTACATCATTAATACGGTAATTTATCACAAAACGGAAATGCAGTATTTGGCATAAACAACCAATCTACGCGGAACATCCTGCGGATAGGTTGGCATAACGTTTCTTGGCCAGGAAAAATGGCTTCCGCGGAAGTTTGGAACGGAACTCTGTGTAGTTCCGGTAACGAGGGTTTTGAGTGCCAATTTATGCAATAACTCATGATTTTACAGAGACGGAATTTTTGGAAAGAAAGCAATAATAGCCGAAAGCGGTCATAAGATCCTTCGGCGAACTTTTGCTTATTCAGTGGCGTTTAGATGATATTATGTACGTAATAAAATAAAATTGTAAATAATAATGTATTACTAAATAACAAATAATGATGGTATAACTAAAACGTTTATATAAAGTACAACTAAAATTAATAAATAAATAATACACAAATATGTAACTAAACAATGTGCATAAAACGAACATTATTATACGAACTACCTTCGTAATAATTATTTTAACATTTTATAAACGTTACGTACAATTTTCGGCGATTTTATTTCGGCTATTACTAAGACAGCTTTTTGGAATACCCTAGCGAAAATAAAAAGTACTAAACTCATAAGCAAAATATCCGTAAAATGGATATCTGCAATGTTTGGTAAATGAGTAAACATGCAAATGTTTTGCAAATACATAATAATTATTTAGTACATATAATTTCAGCAATTCCCGAATATACTGGCGCAAATTAGCAAATACATATTTTCACTATTTGCGCTACCACCAGCACTATCAACTTTATGTTATTCTAACACTAAATCGGTTTGAAATAATTAAAAATAATAAACATACAAACCACAATAAATACATCTACACTATACATAATATTATACAAATAAATACATAAACACGTTTATACATTACATAAATATTTAAATATATTTGTAAATAAATACATTTATACTATAACATTTATACTGTATTTATTCATTTATACTATAAATACATTTATACTATTTAATTACCGTCATAATGATTTCTAACGTCCTTTGATTTGTAGATTGATTTAAATTTGTTTTTTATATAAATTTCGATGCCTGATCTAACACAAGCAACGCGAGCAATTAAATTAAATTAACAAATCAATTCTGAGAGCGGACCGGAACTGCTGCAAGCTGTCAACGGCCCACCCACTACCGCATATGTCATTAAACATTCTGGAGCCATACGAAAAAGGCCGCTGGATGCGGATGCACCGTCTCACGCCACCGACGCGCCACCAGTGCCCACCACGTAACCTTTCTCTAGACTTTAAGAAATACCGTGTTGAAAACACATCATAATTCATAAGCCAGTTACAAAAATTCTGTACGGTAACACACCGGTTACGAGATTGGTTACACTGGTTACACTGGTTACATTTCCAATAGATTACTGTGAATAATCAACGCTAAAACCTGTGGTATGGATTTTGCCAAAAATAATTAAAATTGCCCTATAATAATTTTCTGAATAAAAATGTAATGCTAATTGCTAATTAATAATTAATTCCTCTTTCAGAATATTCTGGTTTTATTTTTTTCTGGTTTAAAAAAATAAACTTGAATAAAATAAATATGAAACCAGAAATAAATAAAAACCAACCACTTCGTCAGAATATTACGTAAAATCTAAGCCAAGGAACGCAATCCGGATAAAGCATAATCCCATCCATCACATAAAGCCTCTAATGACAGCAACGGTGACCGGCTTAACCGTCTCGATTATTGCGGGCTGAATGCGGCCACCATCAAAAAGGGCACGTTGACACGTTTTTTATTTTGATAGCTGATGTCGCCGGCATTCAGTTGATTCTTGCGCGCAATATAAACGGGACAATGCATTAAGTAAATTGTAAATACATGCACAAGGGTGCAACAAAGGTCAGTGGCAACATATGCGCAGTAGACCGGCATTGATTGCGTGGATGCGGCAATTATTCGTATTGATCCGCTGCGATCAAACTAGCAGCTCGTTTCAGAGGAGAATTTCTGGAGCCGGGAGAATTTCCTTATTAAAGATGTTTATTTTAGTCAGGTTCACCGGATTTCTACAGTATATTTCATGGGATTTTAGGAAAACCTCTTTAAATTAATTCCGGCAAATTTTCTTCAGAGTGACAATTATCTCCTTTTTTCTCCTACTTTTCTGTCTTCTGCGTAATTAGTCGTATTTTTTTCTATGTTTCTTATTATTTCCTTTGCTATTTTTTTATTTTTTGTGCAATTATGATTTTTTGCTTTTTGTTTATTTTGTTATTTTATGTGGAATTATTCTGTTCTGATTTTTTACATATTTTAATCAGTTTATTTTGCTGTATAAAAACGCCAAGTGTTTTAGGTGAAAATTCGTCGAAGATTTGTGGATAAAAAATTAGAGATTTATTTTTATATAACGACGTTGCCGTTCAGCGATTTTGCGTACGGCGTAGTAATATTGATTGCGGTTACGGGCAAATTTCGGATTAAATCTCTCAATCTATACGCACACTTTCATCCTTTAATGCGATTAATCTATCCGAAAGATTTCTATCGATCGGCGCTTATAATATATCACTACAGCCGGTAAAAACCAGGGGGTGTTTGTGTGGCCTTTTAACCAAATCAATGTCGTGTGCAACAACACACGCGTGCTGAAATAAATCGAAGGACTCCTTTTTAAGTTTTTCTTGCCGATGAGAAATCAATGCATCAATCATCGTTGTTTATCAAATTGATTGCACTACTTCCGAGCGAAGCGATTCAACTATCCGTTTTTCATCAAATAAAATTCTGTAAAATTCAAAGAACAAGAGAAAATTGAATTATTGCTGATTATACGAGCGAAGCGAGGCACAGTTCGTTCCCCAGTTATTGACGTGCGCGGATCGAGCACAGCACGTGCCGGGATCGGTTGCGATGCCGGTCGTATTTCGGTTGGAGACATGCGAGGTGTCCCGTGCCATCCAGGCGCACATCCATCTTCATCCGCATTGCATGCTGTGTGTGCGATCTTGTAGCGGTTGTAACAAGGCTTATTTGGATGCTGCCGGTCTCGTGTGGTTTCATGATTCTCCTGACTTTTGCGTACATTGCCGCTAATTATCCCGCCGCGTCTAATATTTCGCTGATCCTCCGTGGACATTTTTGGATCTTGGGGATGAAAACCTGGATATATATAAAAATGGGCGCGTGATGGTAAAGTTTATATGCTCAAATCGTCGCAGGAAATTTTCCCTTTGATTTTTTAAATTTTTTAAATTTTCTTAGATTTTTTCCTTACACCGGCGTATTTATATATATGACCGGTATGTTTTTGGATCTCCCGTTGAAGATATACATGTCCTAGTGCTACAGGAGTTTCTCGTGAATTCCTCTTCCATAGTTTTAAATTTATACCTTTTTATTTAATTTTTCTTTATATATACGATGAATAATACCACGTTTATGGCTAAATTACCGCCGCGTCCGACCATGTTGTCGATATGGAGCGTGATCCAATCGGTGACCCTGGCCATCTGTATCCTGGTGTACATCCTCAACGGTTTCATGTTCGCACTGTACCTCCGTCACCGCCACCTGCGCACCCCCTTCAGCGTGTACCTCTTAACCGTTACCGGCGGGAACCTCCTCAACGCCGTCTTCAACAACCCGCTGCTCTTTGTCCTCCGCGACGCCACCATCACTGGCAACGGGACCACCTTCTGCATGGTGTACTTATACTTGAAACAGACCGTCGGCACGGCGTTACCGGCCTTCCACATGCTGATCGCCTTGAACCGCATCTGGGCCATGTGCTACCCGTTATCCTACCGCCAGCGTCACACCCGGGGTTTCGCGGGGGGTGTGTGCGTCGTAACCTGGATGGTGATCCACGCCGTGATCGTCCCGGGACTAACCATGGAGGGCCTGTACTTCCGGACCCCGGGGAACAATTTCCTGTGTACGTTCAGCACGGGGGACGCGCGGATGGAGGCCTGGAGTGTGACGGTGACGGTAGTGCTGAGTATTGTCCCGGAGGTGACCATCCTGTGCTTCTATCCCTTCGCCGTGGGGAAACGCGTGCAACGGTCAAGGAAAGTGCGGGAGATGACGATCGTGGCGCCCAGTGTCCACGGTACCGGGAAACTCGCCACGGACGATGATGCGGCTGGGACGGTGCGGGCGGCCAAGCGGTCGTTCACGGTGCTGACGCTGCTGACTGTCAGCGCCACGGTGTGCTGGACGCCGACCAATGTGTACTTTGTAGCGATGAAGTATTTCAATAGTTTCCTCTTTATGCAGATTGCGGTGACGTTGAAGCTGCTGCACACGGCGATCGATCCGCTGTTGTTTATGGTATCGTTGCAGGATCTGCGACGCGCTGCTCGAAACGCTCTGTGCCTAAGTGCTGTTTAGGATACATACGAATTGCTGTTGCTGTCTTTGACATTTTTCAACTATGGACTGGTCACTGGTGTACTGGTTGGGTTGTACGCTGCACTGATGAAAAAGTTCATGAGCTGTGAAGAAGAGTTCGGCATAGAGAAAAATGTTCAAACTATCGTGCAACATACCATTTTATAATATCAGGTTTCTAACGATTTTATTAGATCTTCTTAGGCTTCTTAGTTTACACCCGGAGGTTTTCTTAGGGTTTTATTGGCTTATTTTAATGTTAGGTTACTCAGGTTTGTTTTGTCGATCACCGCTACTAAATGCACATGTGCGCAGTTGCCTTCGCAATCAAGTGCACCCATGCGCCGTGGTAGTATATAAATACACACGTCCCATGTACATAACTGGTGGTATCCGTCCCTCGATCACCGCATAACAGGGAAAGGGGACAGCGGCAGCTTATACTCACGGCTTGCGGTAACCTTACCGACACAATGCCGCAAGTACCACCGAGAAGTAACTATTGTACAAGCTTGTCCCGTAATTTTCATCGTAAGGGCACAGCTAGCGCGAAATTTGCGCTTGAAACGATGGCCACTTCACTACGTTTATCGGATTGCCTAAATGCGCTCCGCAGTCAGATTGTCCATTACTGCACCGACCGTTTTCTAACCACCTTCAGCCAGGCTATTATTCTCATTAAATCTTCTGGCGTGCACCAAGCCACCAGCCAGCCAAATGCATGTTACGTGTTTAAGCAGTAGCGTGGCGTGGCGCGCCGTATGCCGTGGCATGTTCTTGGTACGGATTGAGCCAGTCCTAGCGCCGTAGTACGTTTACGCGCAACACGTAAATTTGTACAGCTTAGGACAAAAAGACGCATAATCCCACCCACAGCATTCCGAACGCATTCGGCGCAGTGCGCTGTACGACTCAGCTAAAATATCCGGTTGTCGTACAAGTGCACTTGCCACATGCGTACGGATATCTGGGTATGGGGTTATGCGTCTTTTTAGTCCTAAGCTGTAATGTTCGCTGTTCTGATGCGATGGAAATTACGGGGCAAGCTTACACAATACGTTACAATCTTGTAGAGTTGTTCAGAAACACTCGTGGCTTTTTTTCCGCGGAAAGGCGGAAGTGGATTGAAAGCCCTGTGGTGTAATTTCAAGTAACAACAGAACTACCGTATACAGTTTGAGTACTCGTAATTACTATATATAAGGACAAGAAACTATAACGCGCTGACCCTAGCTTAAACCTAACCACTGGAAGTACAAGGTAAACGTTCATCGTCATTACAGTCCCAATCAGCAATGAATATGCGACGCTTGAATGTAGCCGCCGTACTGGGGCTGCTCTTACTGCTATGCGGGCTCGCACTCGCGGGCAAACCAGCAACGGCATCCGACCCGATGCCGGCTGGTGGAGCCGTCCTGGGGAATTCTACCGAAGTTAAACCATTGAAATTGAAGCCGCCGCCGCCAAAAGGTAAGACTCTTTTCAACGCGCTGCAGTATCATTTGCGTTGAGAGTGAAACCATGGAATTACGTCAGCACTTCTGTCCGCATTGAAGTGTCCAGTTTGTATCACGAGAAACACCAAAATACCGTCTGAACAGAGGCTAATGGTTCAATAGCTGTCAGCGTGTGTGCAATTCAGGACATAAAAGCATCCCGTTCCCATAAAACCCTTCCCCTTCCGTCGGATCGGTAAACCAGCGGGGCTGCTGCCCACCGCTGAACGGTACAGCCAACGCACCGTCTTAGACTCTTACCAGAGACTGGTCAGTGGCTTCCCCTCAGAAAAAGTTCGTTTTATGTTTGAAGACAGAGTACAGATAGGTATTGGGAGGTAATCACGGGTTGCAATATATATTTTCAACGGCGACACAGAAATATCTATAATAGACGAAGGTAACCGTACATTGCTGGTACATACATACAGTAACTGCATCTTCTAAAATGGTTTTGGCCACGTCCACTGGACCATTGCCGATGAAACTATTTTCTTAAGTACCTATTCCCAATATTTACTGCGTTTTCAAACAAAAAACGGAATTTTTCTGAGAGGAAAAGCCTCTGACTGTCCTGATTAGTTAAAAGAAGAGTCCGGGTTTTTCGGGCTTGAGTAAGGAAGCCGGATGGTGGGCGCGTCCCACTGGCTCTCATAATGGTTGTACGTGTATCAGTGCGTGAAGACGCATTGCACGAACATACGAATCACGCGTTTGCGCTAATTAGGTGGCGAAAAGGGAATATTGTCCTGAAGTGTACGATCCTTGGGAGCCGTTCGTGTTGCTAATGGATAACCACTGCGCCGAATCTCATGTCTAGCCGCGCATGATCTGTGCCCAGTGTATCTGTAGTAGCCGTATAAGCGCAGAGTCTAATGCCAGTTGCGCGACAAGCTATCACGATCGGTAGACTGTAGCTACAGTAGTCTCTGTTCAGTCGGCTACATGCCAATAAGCAGGGCGCTATCCACTGGAAACCGAGAAACGGCTGAAAAAGGCGCCGATGGGGGAATCGAACCCCGGCTACGTCGTTAGATCCGCGTAGGCAGTACCACTGCACCACGGCGCAATATGTTGAAATCATTTGAAAGATTTTGTCGCTGTACGTGAGCCGCTTCTCCGCTCACATGCCCATCTGGTTTCTGTCATTGGTTTCTGTCATTGTATGTCTGACGCTGGTTGCAGGGGCACGGAAAAATTCCACTAATACCATGAACCGTATGGGCGACTTCTGGTGAATTCTTCTCTTTCTTGGATTCTGGCAGTCAGCAGTCCCACAATTCGATGATGTTGTGTTAAACTTACTTGTATGATAAAATCGATCGCACAACAGCAGAATCGCTTTAACGCTGGTTAGGCTACTGGTGACTGAGGCCACTGTTTATGTAATCTCGATAATCATAATATGTGGTGTCCTGTCGGGTACAAAGAACATTACCTGTACTAAGTGCGTTTCCTATGCTGTGCAATAATTATTTAAAGCTGGTCTGTTTCTGCCATTTTCATGGTTATTCAGCTGTGCTGCGATGGTTTCAGCACCAAATATCCAAATACACCAAATACATCTACGAGTACTAAAACTGAGCTACGCTGTTGACGCTCTACAAGTATGCACATCGCGGGTTTTCTGTAGTGCAACAAAGCGCTTCAGTATTTCTTCCATCTGCAGTGGTAAGGGAATAAAGCGTGGCTTAGCGTGCAATTTCGGGAATGAGGTTTGTAGTTTGACTGTATGGCTAAAATGAATTTCCCATAGAAATGTCCGGTAATAACAAAAGGTTAAGCTCGAGGCCGGAGGCCGCGTTACATTTCGGCCGCATGCGATCACTTCGGCCGACGTTCATTTCGGCCGAGGCTCACTTCGGTCAGCACTCATTTCGGCCACCGCTCATTTCGGCAATAGCACATTTAGCCATCTTCAATTTTCCAAGTTTTCCTAGTTTTTGTATGGTTGTTAGGCTTTCTTAGGTTTGTTAGCTTTTCTTAGTTTTCTTAGGTTATTCTTAGACTTCTGTTAGTTTTCTTCGGTTGCTTGGCGTTCTTAGGTTTTCTTATGCTTTATGTTCTTAGGTTTCTTAGGTTTATTAGATTATTCTTAGGTTTCGCAGGTTTGATAAGTTTATTCTTAGTTATGGTTAGGATATTCTTAAAAAATTCTCAAGTTATATTTGGTTAGTCTTAGGTTATATAGTTATTCGAATAATTATGGTACTATCGAAACGTTGTTTTCTAGGTTTTTTAGTACCATCGAAACGTATCCGCATCAAAAGTAACGTTTTCTTGCCCAAATCAGACCAAAATAAGCGTCGGCCGAAATGAACTGCGGCCGAAGTAATCGGGGGCCGAAGTGAATGGCGGCCGAAAAAGTTTGGCCGAAATGAACACGGCCGAAATGGAAACGGCCGAAGTGATCGGTAGCCCCGGAGGCGCCATCGCGCCCAGAGACCCCTTCCGATGAATAGCCGCACTACCAGTATGTTGTCTTGGTGGCTGTGCACACGGGATGTCTACATGAATCATGATTACATCTATAACCTCCTTTTAATTGGCCGGTTGGTGCTGGCGGCACAAAACTTTTTTACTGAAATCCTAACTTGTAAGTTACAGGCGGCGCATGCTACGTACAGACTCTGTAGTTGCTATACCTCACTGGCCGCAGTAAACACTCAGATATCCAGCTAAAAGCAAAAGCGATAGCGATATCCTTCCTTTACAATAAAAGAATAAGAGGAGGTGTGGTCAGCGTGTCTGCGCATCCATCCTGAACGACACACTGGACCAATCTTTAAGCTCTATATTTTACTCGATAGCCCAAATTTGGTAGGTTTTTAGAAAATTAGTTTGGTTTGAGAAAACAAAAAGGTTTTAAAGAAAACTCTCGGAAAACCTACTATACAAAATCTACGGAACAATGCAACATCCAATCAGGAAAATCAGAAATAATCCGAAACCAGTTGGTGGTTAAGTAACTGCATTCAGGAGCAGTATGATGAACTTTAACGTATCAGGCCGTCCATGGGTAGCATATACTGTATTTTACTGTGTAGCTGTAGTGAAAGGAAACGCCGCTGCTGTTTCGGGCACTACGCGTATGAATATTGCGGCGTAGAATGTCTGATGGTAATAACGATTTTGGCTGCTTTTTTAACGTTTAAATTTGAATCATTTTAAATAGTATTACGCGAATGCATATTTTGTTATACTGATGGCCTTTGCCCAATAAAGATATTTATTTTACTGTTGAACCACAAGTACTGTAGTGGTTGGCAGCCTGTTGCATAAGAAAGCGGCTGTCAGTGTCCTGTGAGCGTGAACGAAGTTTAGTCTCTCCGACTTTGCGTTCTTATCGTTTGTTAAAAATAATCAGTTGTAGTTAATATTAATAACAGTTAAAGATTTAGAAGCACAGTTAACTATTTCTGCGCTTTTAACCGAAGGCGGAGCCGAGCTGCGGCGCAAGCGGAGCTCGCGGAGCAGCAAGCGAGACCTCCCGCTTCTACGAATAACACAATTTCCAGTGTCGGGAGCGGTTCTAAAATTAATCAAAGTGAGAGCATCATTTCTGTAATCGCACAAAAGAATGTAAAATACGAATTGGAAAAAGTTGAAAATATAAATTTGATACCACTTAATTACAGTAAATTGTCGTTTACTTCTTATTAATCACTAAGGACCTAACTTCTGAATAAATAGCACAAAATTTATTACACGGAGAACCCTAATTCACGTACTTCGGTTACTGTTTATTTACTGGAGTCTGTGTACTTTTATTTACTGGAGTCTGTGAGTACACAAGGGCGACTGATTTAAAACTCATGACAGTCTGTAAAAAAATTATCGAACATATGAAATTTGTGTATGCCTAAATCAAAAGCATTCAAAATGCACGTCTTTAGTATGAAGACTGTACAATAAAATTATATTGTATGGGCAAATTTTACTATAAGGGTTAATCCGAATTAAAATGTCGCATTCGATGTAGGGAGTAGGTGTATTCTAGAATCCGGCGGTCAATTCGCTCAGTAATAAACTATAGCTATGCTATTTAAATCACGAAAAAAAGGTAATTTATTTGTTTTTCATTCATTCCGCGCAGTCTGCGCGGGGTCTTCTAGTTTCATAATAATACGAGTACTTTGAACCTGACAGGGCTGACACAGATGCGCGCTAAAATAATATATTAGGCTTGCGCCGTTATAGGACTACATCCAGCCAATTAATTTGTGTACGAAAGTATTACGTTTTTTCCAGTTAAACCAGTTACAGCGCCACTGACGGAGAGACCAATGCGAAACAATAATATCGTAATTTCAATCCTACGGTCCTACCGATCTGACTAAGAGACAGAGAATGAGCTGATAACTTTAATGTGGCATAACTGAGTACTGTGTATAAGCTACGCGAAGCGAGAATCTGCCTCTCCATTTCCGACGATATTCAATTTAATTGAAAGCTCCGACCCTGCCAAACTTCGAATGCGACACAGAAAGTCGTGAAAGTATTGCAACCGTGACGCGCGCAAGTTGCATTCGTTTAGGCTTTAGAACATAAAAAAGAATAGTACAAGCCGTACGAAGACAGACTTTAAAGTATGCAAAAGTACGTACTACTTCGATACATAATTATAACTGCTATATTAACACATAGTACTGCTATATCAAGATTCAGATCTATATTGCCACGAATGGGATACACCAGAGCGGGCAAACCAAAAAAGACTGACCAAAACCAATATTATATTCTGAAAGCCCGTAATCGAAAACCCGGCCAGATACTATTCATTTCTTTTAAAACCTCTCCCGCTTCGAGCGCCACAGCGGAAGAGTTTTGGCTACCTTCACCAAATGTAACCAAATTATTATAATAATAATAATATCATCGTGGTATTTTTAACCAGGCAATGTTGCCACGTAAACCAAATAAAATATAGTTAAAAAACGAAAGTATTTTCCACTAATTAAAATATCAGAATCAATTTAATTAGCAGACCGTTGGCGTTATTGCGACAAGAACGACTACATATCCAACGCTGTCATCGAGGACAATTTCTAAACAAGTGCCGGCCAAGCAGCGATAGACAGAACTACCGCCACTGTTCAGTGCACAAGCCCGTTAGTTGACCAAATTACAACTACATTCTAGTTAAAATAGCCCGCTAAGCCAGTCAGTGGCCGAACTGCCACTATGGATAGCTATGTGAGCGGTTGACCGAGCTGTCATTACTGTCCGATGTCGAGTGACCGAGTGAGCGAGTGACCGAGCTGTCACTACTTTTCAGTGTAAAAAGCCCGTTAGGAAACGAGTGACGGAGTTACCACTACTGTCCGGTCGGTAGGAGAGCGGGTGACCGCGCTGTCATAATGTCCGGCGCAGAAAGTCCGTTAGCGCAGCGGGTGACCGGGCTACCAATGCTGTCCGGCGCAGAAAACCCCACCAGTCCACCACTAAAGTCCAGTTCACAGAGCCAGAAGATACGAATAAAAACGATTAAAGTAAAAATTCGAACAGACCAGTCGTAGACCTCAGGAAACGCGGGAGCGAAGCCGAGATGAAACGAGTGACCGAGCTACCACAACTGTCCGTGAACAGAGCCCGGGAGGTGATACGAGTGACTGAGCTGTCACTACTGTCCAGTGTACAAAGCCCGTTAGGTGAGCGGGTGATCGAGCTACCACTGCTGCCCGGCGCAGAAAGCCCGGTAGGTGAGCAGGTGACCGAGCTGTCACTACTGTCCAGTGTACAAAGCCCGTTAGGTGAGCGGGTGATCGAGCTAACACTGCTGTCCGGCGCAGAAAGCCCGGTAGGTCAGCAGGTGACCGAGCTGTCACTACTGTCCAGTGTACAAAGCCCGTTAGGTGAGCGGGTGATCGAGCTCTCAGTGGCGGCTGTCACTACTGTCCAGTGTACAAAGTCCGTTAGGTGAGCGGGTGACCGAGTTACCACTACTGTCCGGCCGCTCCGGCGCAGAAAGCCCGGGTGGTGAGCGGGTGACCGAGCTGTCATTATTGTACAGTGTACATGAGTGACCGAGCTACCACTACTGGCCGGAGAACGGAACCGGTTAGCCAAGCAAGTAATCGAGCCACCACTACTGACCGGACATGCACCACTGGGCACACACCAACTTCCAGTGAAAAGAGCCAGTGAAGTAATGAGTTACCGAACTAGTGATCCATTGCACTATCACTGTTTCGAATTTCACACCTTATAGACTGATATCTCGGCTTTCTTTTCGGGTAGGGGATATCGTAAAATTATCTGTATGTACAGCGAAAGGGAATGCTTTCAAGGTTGAGAGAATCATGAACTGATTTTCATGAAAATTCGTGTTTACCCTATTGCATGTACCGATCATGTTTCGACGAATAGACTGATGTTAATCTAATAAATATTCATTCAAATTCAAATAAAATTGCCATGGACCACAAGAAACGCGGAGGCAAAGCCGAGGCTGTTTCTTGTTATGTAATATGTCACCACAGTTTGGTATATTAACA